CTTTATTAGGGAAAAGCAAGGTGCTCCGGAGCGGCCAGGAAGCGAGAGGGACCAGGGAGACATCCCAGCTGGGGCACAGTGGTGGGCTGCCATAGGTCTTGGCTCCGGGGTTGAAGATTTTTTGATCCCATGGTGTTGATTGAAGAGGAAAGGAAGGACTGAGATGCCCCGACGGGAAGGTTTGAGTGGCCACGTGAGGATCCGGGAGCAAAGGAGATGAGTCGGGAGGGTGATGGCATGGGTGATGTCATCAGGAAAGCAGCCGCGCCGGCAGGGGAAGGGAATTATAAAAAGGTAAGGGATGAAAAGGAGCCTTTTGTTTGCTCGCTGGGCAGGAGGGGGACTGGTCAAAACGTTCCCCCACCCTCCCAGGGTGCTGGGGTTTGGGTGCCAGAGCAGGGAAGCACTTGGCAGCATTTAACACGCCGGTGCAGGGCAGCAAACCTTCCTCCCCCTGCGTTTCCATATGGTTTTATGATAAAGAAAATGTAAAGAGATGTTTCCAAATGCGTTCTCATACCTCGAGAGCCCTGGGTTTTAAGGCAGCTTGCTACGTGGCTTGAGATGCATGAGTTTGACTTGATTTTGCACTTGCCAGCAAATCCACCCTGAAGAAAAAAAGAGATAAAACAAATGTTCTGTGGTTACCATTTCTGTTTGTAAATCCAATAATAGCCCTTGTACTTTACAGAGCTAAAATAAGGCGCTGCCCCTGGGTCTGTAACTTTAAATATAGTCATTGTCCATGGCTGGTAATGACAGACCCTGGCAAAAATAGCCTGGGTGGCCTGGCCGTGCCCTAGGGGCCAGGCACGGGCTGCACACCCTGCTTGGTGCCAGTGGATGCCCGTGGCATCCCGTCTCCACCGGCCTTGCAGCACTGCAACCCCCAGCATCGCGTGGCAGCAGCAGTGCCCACCCGGGACGGGGTCCTGCCCCCTAAGCACTGCTGGCCCCTATTAATCTGTAATTCACTGATTTTTTTATTTTTTTTTAAATCTAATCTGTAATTAAACTCTTCCCTCTCCAGGCAGTGCCCTCGCAAAATACGCCGGGTGTTGGGTCCGGTTTGGGTACCTGTCGGTACTGTTAGTAGGAGCTGGCTGCTCTGCCTTAGTGGGAGGGGTCTCAGAGCACAACGAGGAGCCTGGCAAATTGCTGCTGCACCTCAACGCCAAATAAATCATCCCTGTGCAATTTTATCTACTGTTTCGGGTGATGTCTGTAATGAGTAGAGGCAGCTCATACAGATGCTGAATATTGTGGAGTGTACATGGTGGAAAGAGCAGTGCAGCTACTGCTTCATAAATGACATCAATAACACAGTGTGGGCTTTTTCACTGAAAACTGCAGAAATCTTTTGCCCACTGCCATGGACATCTGCTCTCCATCCAGCATCAGGTCGGTCGGGGACAGCCCCCAGCATCGGTGGTACCTCCATGTGCCCCCAGGGGTGAATTTGTATGGGAAGAAGGCACCATCGGTGGTACCTCCATGTGCCCCCAGGGATGAATTTGTAGGGGAAGAAGGCATATTTTGGATAAATTCAGGCTCTCAACCAAAAATCATAGAGTCATGGAATGGTTTGGGTTGGAAGGGACCTTAAAGCTCATCAAGTTCCAACACCTTCCGCTAGCCCCGGTTGCTCAAAGCCTCATCCAGCCTGGCCTTGAACACCTGGATGGGGCATCCACAGCTTCTTTGTAGGGTTTTCGGTGTGGGGGTGCCACAGAGTGTCTGGGTCGGGCTGGGTGCCAGCACATGTCGGAGGCAGGTGGTGAAGAGCACAAATGGTCATGTCCAATCTGCAAACACCGGCAGATTTATATTTATTTGGTTACTAGCGATAGATTTATAAACAGCAATAATGACGGCAGGCAATGGAGCTGGGAAACAGCGTGCTGTGTGCGCTGCAGCAAAAATCTGAAGTTCCCCTAGCGATTTGCCTTTCCTGGAAGGGTTGGGTGAAGTGCTCTACATGTAGGCAGTCACAGCCGTAATCTGCCATTGTGTTTTTATTAACATACTTAAACAAAGGTAGCTACTGGCCTTCCAAGTTGGAATGTCAACAGTAAGAAGGAAAACATCCGCCCAAAACTGTTTTTGCCTTAAAAATAAAAAGCAGCCTTTTATTCAAAATAAATTGTCTGAACCAGACTTCAGCTCTACACCAGAGCCCACATTCAGAAATGCACTTTTTATTCAGTGTTAAAATAACACATTTAAATAACATGGTTTTCTATTTTTCTTGCTAATACTTTTGCATTTTGAGTATCTGATCTGTTATTTTTTAGATACCAAGTAAGTATATTTGATAATCAAAAATCTCCCTGCAATTTTCCTTCTCAATTTATGGTTTTCAATACCCAACTCAGGACATATACTGCAGCTGTTGGGTAATTTATCTCAAGACTAAAATCCAGTTCCCTTGGGTATATTATATGTCTTAGTAACTGTTCCCTATTTTACAATAACAACAAATAGGGCTCTCAATTTCTTTATGGTCATTAGCCTGGGTCTGGTTTATAAAATGGGATATTCTGAGCTGAGTCCTGGGAGCAGCATTATTTAGTATCCTCAGTAACGTCTTGGTGGAGAAAAGAAATTGCACATTGATTAAATGTACAGATGTCGAACTGGGAGCAGCTGCCGTCTCAGTGGGAAATGGAGCAAAATTTAAAAAGATCCGGAGAGATGGCCCCATCTGAAAGGGGTAAATATGTGAAAGTGTGCCTGTATTTGTATTTATTTTGATGCAGAGAAGAGTAACTTTCAGCACACATGGCACAGGGGGAGTATGTTGCTGAGGAAGGGAGCCATCGAGGCTGGGATGGAGGAGGTGGAGAGGCACTTTGGGCTCCTGGTTTCTGTAGGAACACAAGGAAAATCAGAGGTAGATGGGAAGATATGGGAGAGGATGATCTGAGTTGGAAAAAGGGGGATGCTGATCATCCATGCCTTCCCCAGTAATTGATGCACTGAGGGATGCAGCTGGCACTCACAGGGGAGGTACCCGCCTGCATCGTGAGATGGGCAGCACCAGGAACTGGACCCTGTCTCAGCCTTCAGTCCATTCAAAAAATGTTTCTCACTCATTTTTGCCTTTTTTTTTTTTTTTTTTTTTTTACTGTGCTGCCTCAGCCAGCAGGGCTGGCTGTTTTTTTCTTCTAAATCTAGCTGCATCTGTGCGATCGAGGCATCGATTACTAAAGCCTGAAAAAACAAAGGAGAAAAACCTACTCAAGCAGTCTGGGTAGAACTTTGGAAACCAGGAGCTGAACCCAGAAATTCAATACCACTTGATGCCATGGGGGTTATTTGTAATATTTTAAATAATTGAAATAAAAGGAGTTAGGTTACAAATGAAGTATTTATTTTGGTGAGGGATTGACAGTATAATGGGCAGTGTGATAACGTAACGTATGTAGTCAGCACTGGAGTTGGAATTAAAGTGTTACTTATTTTAAGTTAATAATTTGCATTTTGTTGTATCTCAGTTCCTGGTATCCAAAAAAGGTGCTTTAGGTGAAATATGGAAAGTGCTGTTATATTAAATAACATCATGGAAGCAGCCTGTGCTTGCCTGCTATGTTTTCTTTTGTTATGTATTCTTGATTGGGTATTATGTGTTATTTTAAATTTAAATGTTTGGAGGCTTCAAATTGTTCCTTCTGTCAATAACTTGCTTCCTTGTACGAATTTGTTGTCAGTGTTGGCACGTACTTCGTTAGCGACAGACACTGGGATAGTACTGGTACTAATTTTGAATCTAGATCAGTGATTTTTCATTTATTTTCCATTGATTACACAGTCATCTCCGTAATCTGTGATTGATGATTAATTTCAAATCACTTTGTAGTTTGCCCTTAGTCAAAAAACCATATATATAAAAATACATTTTTAAAACTGTGGATAATTTTATGGCATTGGTTAAAAATACATCTCTAGGCACATTGGCAGAAGAGGGATTGTGTGGTTTTGGAGGCTGCTGAGGGAAGTGGAAGATGCTTGTGGTGCAAGCGTGGTCTCAGTGGCTGTATATCTTAGAATCAGGGAATGGTTTGGGTTGGAAGGGACCTTATAGATCATCAAGTTCCAACCCCCTGTCATGGACAGGGACACCTCTCACTAGCCCAGGTTGCTCAAAGCCTCATCCAGCCTGGCCTTGAACACCTCCAGGGATGGGGCATCCACAGCTTCTCTGGGCAACCTGGGACAGTGCCTCACCACCCTCACAGGAAGACATTTCTTCCTCATATCTCATCTAAATCTAGACAGCTTGGGGGGTTCTGGGCATCACGAGCGTGACAGTGGGGCTGGTGGGACAAGACTTCATCTTTCTTGCTGCTTGACTGGCCACTTCATCCTTTCTTGTCGCCCTTCCCTTTCAGGCCCAGAAGAATGAGAGGGAGTCCATCAGGCAGAAGTTGGCTCTGGGCAGTTTCTTCGACGATGGCCCAGGACTTTACACCAGCTGCAGCAAGAGCGGCAAGCCCAGCCTCTCCTCCCGGTAAGCCTGACAGCCTCGCAGCTCAGCACCTCTTTGGAGGTTGAAAAGTGTGAGATGCCTCCAGGGGGAAGTCCTGAGACCTTCCCTTCAGAGAATCCCTTGGTTTTTGCTTGCAACCATATTCTTGAATTTTCCTTTGTTTTAGAGCAACATCTTATGCTCCAAAGGCAATAGTTGTCTTTTACATAAATAATTTTAAGTAATATGCTAAAAGATTGGCTTAAAACTGTATAGAAGAGAAATTGGGATGCTCAGAGGATAAGGCAGGTGAGCTGAATTTTCCTGAGTTATTTTTCCTTTTGGTTTTCATGTAGGATCTCTGCCCTGAACTGAGCATTGCCTTTGGACTTGGGCAGACCGAGAACAGTGGTGGAAGTATCATGAATGCATGGTGGAAGTATCATGGAGTTATTCTTGTGAAAACAGTTGATTAATTTTGTTTTCCAAGGGGTTCTTTTCACTGAGGTGCAAAATACTGAGAATTTTGATGTCACAATGTCTGGTTTGAATGCTGGACGTTCATGTCCAAAGCAGAGCAGGGCTGGAGGATGGTCCCGTGGTCCCATCAGGCGACGTAGTGATGGTTGGTGAAAAACCACAAGTTTGTGAACATGCGTCTTCCTTCGGTGGCTGGGGAGGTTGCAGTCTGTGGGAAGCAAATCTGATGCTGATAACTAGCCCACAGCTGTTCTGTGCTGGTTCAAGGCAATTAATCTCCCACATGAAAGGAAAAAAAATCAGCTTTATGGCATCTGCCTGCCTCCCCACGGCATCCACGCGCTGTGCACAGGCTGTGGCTGCAGCAGCCCTCTGCTTGCTGGGCACGCAGCTCCATCCCCAGGGCTGGCACATTGCATAGATTCCTCACTTATTCTGATTTTTTAAATTTTTAATTTTTAAATTTTTTAAATTTTAAATGCACCAAATATACTCCAGAAATTCTTGGTTATATTCAGCTGTCATGTAGTAACCCATGGCACTTGGAAAGCATCAAATACCTCCCACATTGGGAGTGAAGATCTACCTGTTGCCATGGTGCGGGAGAAGAAAAAAAAGTCTTGGAGAGGCATAAAACCAGGAGGAATACTGTTATTACACCAGAGAGGTACAATTGTGAAATTAGATTGAACTGCAAGTCATTTGAAAGGGAAAACAGTTTTGCTCTGTGTAGTTACAGCTAAACCAGGAGCCACTATGTTGTAATTATAGTGTGGGTCTAGTTAATGCTGCACGGCAGGGTCTGGCAGCTGTGCTACGAGAAATTACCAGCTGTACCTGAACGCTTTGGCATTTCGTTAATATTTATAGTCCAGGCACAGCATTAGCATTGCACGCTGCCCATTACAGGACCTAGAGGAACCTTTGCAGGACTGTTGCTCTCATTTTTGTGCTTCCATACAAAATAAAAGGGCATAAATTGCTGGGTTTCATGTGTTGGGTCGTGCTCTCAAAAGGTGCATGAGCTCAGACCCATGTTTTGTACTTGCTCTGCCCTGTCTGCACGATGCAATTTGAAGCTGAGCCAAGGGCGCATCCCACTCCCCAGCCTGGGCACCATCTGTCCACCACGATGTAAAAGCTTGTGCAGAATTATTGCATAGAGTCATCAAAATGGTTTTGGGTTGGAAGAGACCTCCAAAGATCATCTGGACCAACCCCCGGCAGTAAGCAGGGACATCTTTAACTGGATCAGGTTGCTCAGAGCCCATCCAACCTGACCTTGAATGTTTCCAGGGACAGGGCATCTACCACCTCTCCAGGTAACCTGCTCCAGTGTTTCACCATCCTCCAATTTTAATTATTAATGCTATCTATTTTATGGTAATAGTGACTAAACTAATAGTTGCCCTAAAATAAAAGTAATTAAGCCCCAGCGTTGGGAATGAGGAATAACTGGCAGCAGAACGTTTCAGGGGGCTTGCCCCACCTTCAGCAGGTGGGGATGGAGTCTGATGCATCAAGAGGGCTGATAAGAGTTGACCCCAGCAATCTCTAGCTTCTGGGGTTACTTTTTAATGAATTTGGAAGCTGTGCAAAGTTTGAGCAGATTTTGTGGAAGGGAATGGGCCTGACCCTGGTGTCACGTGGGCAAATTGTTCTGGAGCGCCCAGGGGACGTAGGCTTGGCTGGTGGCTGCAGAGCAGCTCTGCAAGGAGGGCATCAGCAGGGGCTTTGACACCCTTTTGTCGCCTGCCCTGAGCCGCCACATCCAGAGAAAATCATTCCTGGGGAGGTGAATTTGGGTGGTCTTAACCTGTCCAGAGCAGGCAATGGTGCGGAGGCTTCAGAAAACACAGTAACCATCTCTTGCGGTACAGTAGTGCCTCTTGGCCATAAACAGGCTTATCACCCTTCTGAATAAATAGTTTAAATCATTTACACGTTACTTTGTATAATATAATATTTTATATATTATTTGTCTATTTCATGTGTAAATATATACTTACATTTTATACAGCTATGTATAAAGCATATGTTATGTGTATGTAGTATTTTATTTGATGTAATAATAGAGCCACCCATGATGACAAAAGCTCTGCAGTGTCTCAGCAATTCTGAAGTTCATCAACAGATGGTGGTAGAAGCATTATCATCAACCCAGGCGCTGAGTTTCCAGTCCCACAGCAATGGCAGCGCTGGGCAGCAGCGGGAGCTTGCCTGTGCCCTGCTGTCATGTGCTGGTGGTCCTGGCTGGGCTTTTGGGTGGGGGATGACCATCTTCTTAGAAAAAAAGTGAGAATGTTGGGATTTTCCTGCGGCCAATACAAAATCAGGACAACAGCATCCTTTCAAAATGTGAATGACAGGCTCCTGATGGTGCTCCAGCATCTCGCCCATTGGCACGGCGGGGAGAGCCACAGGTTGCCAGCGTCAGCACCGGCACGAGGGGCCTGCAGCATCACCTCTCCCTTTCCCCCCGCAGATTACAAAGTGGGATGAACCTGCAGATTTGCTTCGTGAATGACAGTGGCAGTGACAAGGACAGCGATGCCGATGACAGCAAGACAGAAACCAGCCTGGACACGCCGTTGTCGCCTATGGTAGGTCCAGGAACCCCTCCCGCAGGGGCTCCGGAGCATGGAAACCATGAGACCATCCATAATAGAAGCTGAGAAAGAGCTGATCCTATAAAAATTAATGATAATAAAATAAATTAAAATTAAAATAGTGATGCTAAACCCCAGAGCAGCACCTTCAGCTATCAATAAAAGAGATATGAGATGCTGAGGGGCAGGTAGCAGACTGCCCCTGGCTTGCACAGAGCTGCTGATGCCCTCATGCAAAGGAGTTCCTTCTTCCTTCCTTCCTCCCTTTCTTTTTGGCTGTGATATTTATCAGGGCGATAATGTATACAAAGCAGTATCAGCTCCCACCAGCTTTCCTCTCCTTTCTTTTCCTTTGTGAATATAACACCATGGCCCCAAATGTTTTCCTCCAGCTTAACCAGTTTGTCCCTTCAACACCTATTGGTGTGGTTGGCTCCTCTTCCCATTTGAAATGCTCAAGTTGCTGTTAATAGTCAAGGGGGCCTATCTGGGAATTACTCTGATTTTTAAATATAATCCTGTGGATTTAAAAAAAAAAATCTATGCTCTTCACCTTTTCTGTAGAAACGATACCACTTCTAAGTGCACAGAAATATTTTTTAAGCTGACAGCAAACTTCTTTGCTGTAGCACAGTTGGGGTGACAGGGCTGTAATGGCTGCGTGTCTCCTTTCCCAGAGCAAGCAGAGCTCATCCTACTCTGACAGAGACACGACGGAGGAAGAGTCGGAATCCCTCGACGACATGGATTTCCTCACCAGGCAAAAGAAACTCCAAGCTGAAGCCAAAATGGCCTTGGCTATGGCAAAGCCCATGGCCAAAATGCAGGTCGAGGTGGAAAAGCAAAACAGGAAGAAGTCGCCAGTAGCGGATCTTGTAAGTGGGGACTGTGGGATGGCGCGGAGGGGTAGCACCAGCCCTTTTGCTGTTCGCTTTTGCTTGTTGAGACACACACAGTGGCCAGCGGCGCTCGCTCATGGAGACATGAGCAACATGCAGAGGAGTAGTGGAGATAGGGACCATCGGTCAGGAGTTGAAGGGTTGGCATGGGTTGTCTTATCGGGGCATTACGGGAGTGGGATGGATGCAGACAATGAGATGATGAAGTGTGAAGATCGTTACTGCCTTGAGGATGGCAACGACATGGTGCTGCTCATCCTTAAGGTGTAGTCCACTCAACCCGTCTCATCCTGAGCTTCATGCCACAGCCCTCGCCTCTGTTTGCATCAGTCCACCACTGACACTGGTAGATCCGAAGACCTTGATCAAACATTGTGTAGATGTTTCAGCTCATTTTGGTACTCTAAGCGCAGTCGTCAATACGGGCTTGTGAGAGGGGGACACCTACAGTGCAAACTGCCGCTGTTCAGGAATACAAATAATTGGGAGAAAAGAGTAAAAAGCTGGAAATTTCTTTTCAGCTTCCACATATGCCTCATATAAGTGAATGCCTGATGAAGAGAAGTTTAAAACCCACTGACCTAAGAGACATGACTATCGGGCAGCTACAAGTGATAGTCAATGATCTCCATTCACAGATAGAAAGTAAGTGATACTTGTTTAATTATTCTTTACTATGTCCTGTTTAATTAAGACCAGTTCTCCGGGATACACATAGAAATGTTGGTAAATGAATGATAACAGGAGTATATGGAAGAGGCACACTGCAGTAGTTGGCAATGGAGTTCTCTCCAGATTTGGTTCCTTTGGCTTTTTTCTGTCCTTTTTTTCAGTTTCTCCCCAAGTGCACGCTTGGCTCCCTAAGAGGGGAGGGTGGTTGTGCCAGCACCTAACGCCCCACTTCTCACTCAAAACCTGGTCGGGTAAAAATAGTCTTGGGACATCTGCCTGTCCTGGAAGCACCTGCTAGTCATGGCTTTACAGCGGCATTTTCATGTGACGCTATGCCATGGCACCAAAACCATCCATCAGTGAAGAAATCCTCCAGTTTAGCAAACATCCTGGGGTAAATCCTCTCTTGGAGTCCTTTAGTGTGTTTCTTGGGTCCTTGCCTTTGCCCACAGGGATGGTACCCCACTGCCTCATCTGTTTTTGCTCTCTCCAAAAGATCCAGGGTTTTTTCTTCCCCCAAGGGATCTCCATCTTCCAATTAATTAACAATTTGGGGACTAGACTTCTTTGGTGGCTGTAGGTCAAAATAAGGTTGGTTGGGGTCTGCAGTGCTGCTCCCTCCCTACTTGCAGTGGTTAAATGCATCCTTTCTAGAAGCATCCCTGCTGAGGGTGCAGAGCTGCACCGTTGAGTTGTGATTTCTTATTTTGTGCTGCAAAGGCAAAAAAAAAAAAAAAAAGCTCATTAATTAACCTCACTTTAGAAAGCACCGAAGTATGGGAGTGGTAACATCATTTACACTGAGCTTGCTTCCCAACCTGAAGAGGCGTTAAACCAGTATAACTGTATTTAAGTATACTATATTTATATATATAACTATATTTAGGCAGCCTGTAACTATATTTAAGTATAATGGTATTTAAGCAGCCTAAACACCAGCTCTGGCAGCGAGTGGTGGGCAGGTTCAGCCTTCAGCTGGCAGGTTGATTTTTCATGTCATCCTTTTTGTTTCCTCCTTCCCCACGCTGTGACACAGCCCCATGTCACAAGCATCCCTCTGGAGCGGAGGGGCTGGCTGGGG